GATAGCAACCCAAGGCATGGCTTGGCAAACTTTCCCTGTACAGGGCCAGATAGGAAATATTTTAGGCTCTGTGGACCATACGGTCTGTGTTGAAAGTACTTAACTCTGCTTTGTGATACAAAAGCAGCCATAGACAGTATGTAATGAAACAAACATGACTGTGTTCCAATAAAACTTTATTTGTGGATACTGAAAATCGAATTCCATATACTTTTCACATGTCACAAAATATTCTTCCTTTTATTATTTCCCCAACTATTTAAATACATAAAAACCATTCTCATCTCATGGGCTGAACACTAACAGCTGATCAGGGGGATTTGGTCCACGGGCTATAGGTTGCTGACCTGGGACCTAAAACATGGGGGTTAGTCCTTTTTTTGAGGACCTCCAAATATCGGTGCTTATCTCAGGCCTCATCACCGAGTGTTGTGTAAAAACTTGCATGAAGGTTTTCTCCTTCTCCCAGTTTGCTTTATGTATATGTGCATGCTTATTCAAATCATATTTTGTATAAGCTTATTGCTGTTTCTTAAAATATAGTAAACATGTTTTTGAACATTGGCTACCTTAATAAACATGCTAAACATGGGGATACCTAGCCCCTAAAGTATAAACACCTGCTCTGAACTTCAGCTATAAATAGCTCAAGAGTTGTAAAGATGCTTATGTATAAGCATAATTTGTAAATAACAGATGGCACTTACTAAGAAAGTGAAGGCCCTCGAGAGAATGACATAATTTTGAACCAGTAGAATCGAAGGTGTGTCAGAAATGCCCAGGCCCCAGTTAGCCTAAGAGCATGGCCTGCCAAACTAGCAACGAAGTACCCACTCCCTGACTCTGAGTACTCCGAGCTGCTTGTGGCCCATGGAGTGTTGATCATAAGGCACCTTTGACCCCTTGTACCGACGGGGGCAGAGATTGTAGCCAAGGCAGAGAGGGAGGCTCTGTCCACAGATGAAGACAGTACATGCATGCCTTCCAACCCTTTCCTCTGTTAGCTCACAGATCCATTTATTTTATCCATTGGAGGAAAACAGATGTGAGTGTGTGCCTCTGGGCTTTAAGTGCCTGGTTTTATCGGTCACCCCCTTTCTATGACATCTTCAAACTACGTCTTTCTTGAAACCTGAGCCTAGCACTCAATACAGCACCAAGTTGTCAGTGCCAAGCAATTGTCACATCTTTTATAAAGGAAGTGTTGACTCAACCCAGCCCAGGAACCACCATCAATAGTAAAAGGTCTTCAGAGATGGGATGGGGCCTTTTAAGTTATTTACTTAGCAGTTGGTCTGGAACTTGAGTCAGAGTTGATCCTTGCTTCTTAAAAGAGAAATTCTTTCATTTATTCATATTCTTTCTCTTTCTCTCCCTCCCCTCACTAACCCTCTTTTCTTCTCCCTCATACACACACAAACACATATCTATGCATCTTTTTATTCTGTATCCAAAGGATCTCATTTATCTTCAAACAGGATAATGTAACTTCTCTCCATATGGGATTGAGACATGGTTGTAAAAATAAGAAAAGTCCATCCTCACTCTTCAGTTGTATTGGAACATATCTCTGAGGCTGGCTATCAAGTAATCATGTATGGGTAACTAGTGTTCTCTGGTGCAGTTTCCAAAGGGGATCCCATCAGTCATTCCAAATTTTCCACCGACCAACAATGAACAGGACAATAAACATTTTTGACTTTCTACAAGCAGTAATACCAGAGATTCATATTATAAGTTATGTAATCCAGCTCATATTATAATGATAATGCTCAAATGTGTAGTCTTGTACACTAAGGATTTATTTCTCTTCTTTTTTATGACAATTTAAAATCTAGATTCAGTGATTTACATACACTGGAAATCGGAAAAGCAAATGCCCTTTGGTGGTTAATTTCACAGCACTTTATAAGTTCTAATAAATTATCTTTTAATATGCTTGTTGAGACCTCAGTTGATTTAGGGGTTGGGGAGGATAGGTTTAATACTTTGCTCCAACTTTGTTCCCATAATCAGGATAAGGCCAGGGAATTACTGTGGCACAATCCATAACAATTCAGATCAAGGTGAATAATTTCTACTAGTATTGCCTCTCCATCCCAGATATTTGATGTTATTTTGCATATTTGCTTTCATTTTGAGAAGAAAATTTGGAAGCCAGTTTGCACATATGTCCATCTCTTTGGTAGTTTGACTGAAATATCACTTGTGTTCCTACAAGTTCCTAAGCCTTTTCTCCCTGTGCTGCTGTCTTGGAGTATCTTCTTTAGCAGGGCTCGGTATGAAATGCTGTAAGGTAGCTGGAGTTCATTACATGATTATTTAAGTTCATGTGCTCCACGTTGGGTCTAAAAAAAGATGTTGTACACCTAAATGACTTTTTTTCCCCCTTAAAACCAGTAAAATAATTGCAAGGATTTCACTAGCCAATTTTGAAATGTATAGAGCCAGCTCAGTAAACATTCATTGAAAACTTAGGTTTGAGTCCTATACTTTCTTTTGCTCAAGTACACTTATGAGAACATAAGAATAGTTGTGTGTGTGTGTGTGTGTGTGTGTGTGTTTTAAAAAGACACTAAATACCATCCCTTTTGCCAAAATGAGTTCACTGTACAGATTCTCTGAGACTTGGTTATTTAAAAACTGAATACCTGTTCTCCAAATACTTGGTGAAATATGGTAAATAATTTTAACAAAGATTTGTGACTACGGAGTTTGCATCATTTTGCTTTGCTTTGCTTGCTCTTAGTCTCGAATGTCCCTAACCTTTCTCCTCTTCCCTACCATGTCTTCCTCTGCATTCTTTCCCTTGTCCTCTACAGTTCCTCTGCCTGCCTTTCCAGGTAACAGCCGGACCCTTCTTGGCTGATCCGTTCATTACTCGGGAAACTCTGAAGCAAGCACTTAGACTATGTAGCAGTTCCCTTTTCTACATTAAAAAGCTGTAAGACTACCTCATGTGAAATAGTTAAGAGAACATATATAGTAGGAGGAGAGGCTTTTGCTCCTGCAGGCACCTTGCAAAGGGGACTATTTTTCTTATATGATATAAATGAAATCCTCACTCTGCCCACTTTTACACCTACGCATGTACTGAGCGTCTCCAAGGAGACAAGGAAACCCGGAGTCCAGTGATGGTGAATCCTCCTCAGAGACAGCAGGCTGGAGTCTCGGGCAACTCTCCCAGGCGTCTTGGCTTCCAGATGCCCCTCTCAGACAGCCTCTCTTCTGGAGGCTCTTCCAGGCAGGCTTTCTCGAACATGTCTCTCCCTTCACAGACGAAATAGCCTGTACATTACATCTGAAGGGTTGTTGGTGGTGAGTTCAGTAGGCAGAAGGCCTCCCTGGGACAAGGGGATGGGTGTCCTAGGGAGGTGGGACGGGAAGTTTCCATCTTTCCCAAGATCTTTCCTTTGTCACCCATTTATCTGTGCATCTGTTTCATTGCCTCCCTTTGTGCCTTTTAGACACAAAGGCACCGCTCAACCTTATCAAATGTCTAAAAAATACTCTTTGTTACAGTAGTACAGTTATGAGCTCAGTTTAGTGAAGTTGTCCTTTTAGAAGTACTACTCCTGCTGATTCGGCATTTCTAGGTGTCTGTTCATGAACGATCCATCTTCTTGACCACTCTCTTTTCCCTTCCCCCTGAGTTCAGTGCACAGGGCCCTCCAGGACATCCTACCTTTCCCTCATTCCATGGTGTCACTGTAACATTTTTTGAAACTGTGTACATTATCTTCTTATACGAATGAAGTCTTTACTTCTCTTTGAGAAACACACTACCATCCTAAGTCCATTATGCACACTTTCAAAGACTTCTAGTATCAGATCCTTTTGCTGTGGTGACCACACCTACCGGTGCGTCTTCTTTTAGGCACAAATAATTAGTTACTATGTAGAAATTATTACTGATGTAATCCCTAAGAAATCCCATTCTGTTTCTAAACTCTAAGCACATCATTTAATGAACATTCTTGACATGTCTTGCACATGAACATTCTTGGTTCTCAGCCAAATTAACTCGAATAGCCTAACTTCTCGTGTGATTTTTTAGCACATTGTCTGCAAACTTCAGTCTTCTGTTGCTGATCCTGCTGCCCTCTTTGGAAAGGTGTGGCTATTATTTTTGACAGTAGATGTTCTCATGAGGGTTTCTTGATGACACTTTTTTTTTCTTTTTTTACTTGAGCTTTTAAAAAAAGATTGGTCAGTCTGTATTTTGCACTTGGGAGGACTCTTCTATTTACTTTTTGCTTTATCCCCGGTTCATATTACTGCTTTAGTTTCTGCCTTTAAATAAAAACCACCTCTGTTACGAGCTTAAAAGAGTTGTTTTGTATTAGGCATGATTAGTTTTGTTCACAGGTACAGATTGTACCTTTTGAATTGACCTAGAGGTCACATTTGCTACTTTTTTTTTTTTTTCTTACACAGTCTCTTCAGTTCACCCTCTGTATATCTTACCTTATTTGATCTTCCTTCTCACATACCTTTATCCATAGTGTGTTTCACCATTTAGCTTCTCCTCTTTATTTGGACTCAGAAGAGGTCAAAGTCTTAACTTTTGACTTGAGCTCTCAAGTTCCCCCAAGAAATATTGGAGGATGAAGGTCCCTCCAAAAAGAGCTCCATTGTTGTCTCCTAAATTTGTGTCTTTTGTCCAGGTCCTTCCTTGCTGCTCTGCCTTCCTTCCTCAGGGTCCCAGTCATTCGTGGTCCAACTTCTGTCACATTGATGGCAGGAATAAAGCATCTGCTTGGGTGGATTGTGATGCCTAAGGAGCTGGCTATGACATTGACTCCATCTAAGAAAACGTAAACCAAATGTGGAAAGTTTCCCAACTTAGACTGGTGGGAAGTTTTGTTGGCTGTTTCATTTGCCTGGAAATGTGAAAGTCAGGATCCCATCCTAAATTGTACTTCCTGGAATCCTTTATATGAAGGAATCCCCGAACATGGGTACTCACACAAACGTGTTTCTTCCATTTTTCCTTCCAGGCACTTCAAGTGGCCAGACAGCTTCTCCTTCAGCAGCAACAACAGCAGCAAGTTAGTGGATTAAAATCTCCCAAGAGGAATGACAAACAACCAGCCCTTCAGGTGATTATTCTTTTTTGAAAAAACTGACATTATACACTATAAGCCATTGAGAAGTGGATTGTGTTGGGAGTTGCAAATCACGTATGAAAATCTTCTGCAGAAGGTGCATTTTTTGGTTTACCAGCAGAGGATGACATTTCGGAAAAAATGTCTATTCAACCAAGAGTGTGTTTGTTGGGAAGAAGATCTCCTAATGAGTTGATGTAATAGGATGAGTAGTTGCAGGTGTGGGTTGCTTAATAGGCACCATGTAGCACCAAGGAGAAAAAATTGCTGGTACTCAAGATAGGTCACCTCATTCTCTCATGATGGGGCTGGAAATGCGATACCCACACCCATAACTTTAGTGCAGTGGTTTTCAACTGGGGGTGATTTTACCCTCCCCCCACCCCACCAAGGGACAAAGGGCAATGTCTAGAGAAAATTTTTGGTTATCCCAGGGGGGGCATGGTGCTCCTGACAACTAAATAGAGAGGTCAGGGATACTACTTAATTGGTCCTACACTGCACAGGAAGATCCCCCACAGCACAGAACCATTCGTCCCAAAGTGTCAATTGTATCAAGAACTGTTAGGAGGACTGAGGAAGACACAGTACTTTTACTATACCTAGTCATCAATATAATACCTATTTTGTTCTTTAGTGGATGTTTTCAGAATATTTCTGGATCATTAATGAAAAATGGCAGGCAATTTTTTTGTAAAGGTTTCAAAAAAGACTGTTTTAGCAACTTCTGATTTCAGCCCTATTGGGGGCAGGGGCCAACAGAGTAGAAAAAGGAGTTCATAAAAATCTAACTTGGATTTTTGACTTGGAGTAGAAAATTGTAACAGAAAATTCAAAGAAACTTGATGGAGGGTGTCCGTGCTCACATCTGAGACAGGGCACTTGCAGGTACTACGTGATTCAACTGCTTCCATAGCTCAGAGTGGGCATCCTCAAAACAGGAAGTAAAGATGAGTTTCTCACACTGGACATTCGGGGACAAAACTTGTAAATGGTAGCTGTTGGGTATAACTTGGCACCAGTGACTTTGACCATGAGGTCAACCCAAATTCCAGCTTGTGTTTACTTTTCTCAGATCAGAGTGAACCAACATCAGTTCCCAAATTATCCTGCAAAGATCTAACTGATGTTTGGGGAACAAGTCCTAGTTCTTCTACATCTACTTGGGAAGCCGTCACTGTCTAGGGCAAGTTTGGCAGTAAAGTAACACTGGATGGGAACAGTTGGATGACCATGTGCATTGTTGACTAACACTTCCAAAACCAGTTAGTTATTTGGTAAATCGTCATCACCAATCCATAGGCCTTGTGATGTGTGTAAGTGCTGGGGACATTTTTAATGAGATATAGTGCCATTGAGGTCCCATGTCAGGTGCTATAAGAAGTGCTTTGTTGTGCAGATGTCTTAAGAACAGTTCTGGAGGATGAAATATGACTGGGTTGACCTTTCAGCTGTGAGCTTATTTGTCAGGATTCAAATAAGTTGAAAGGATCAAACTGAACAGTTTCCATAGTCAGACTGGGAATTGTGTTTCAGAGGTCAGCTGCAGAGGCCACATTGCAGATTCCAGAACATAGCCAATTGTTGGTACATATTAAAGTGCTGGGGCATCTCCTGCAGACAGAGACACAATTAAAATTCTAATTTATTAATGTATACAGGGAACTAGCCCAGCCTGTCACTCAGTGATTCAAATGACTGTCCATTCTTTTTGCCTCCCTCTTGGAGCTCTAACAGCCTTAAAAATACTGTGAGTCCTCTTGAATTTATCAGACCTCAAGTGCATTGGAAAAATGACAATATATTATTGGGGGGAGGTGGGAATCTTACACGTAGTAGAGCTTTGGTTAGGGATAATTTTAAAAAGTACACACATACACAATCTGTCTGATGCACTGCTCTTCAGTATTGAATATCATATGTAATTTTTTTATACTAGACTTATATTCCCTCATACTTGCTTTTTAAAGACATATGGCATTTTTAGGTAACTTCTTTTCCAAGATGAACGAAGTTGCTTTAGGGCTAAATATATGAAGTAAAGTTTCAGGGGATTTCCTTTGGAGGGCTCTTTTTCTTGCCCGTTATAAGGTTTTTAGCCACCAGAAGAGTATGATACAGAGAGCTTCATTTTTCTTGGCAAAGAGTGTCAAAACCAACCTAACACATTCTGCTGAGCACTTCAGTCTGTATAAAAAGTGCGGGGCGAGGGGGCCATCTTGAATGCTGGTTTTGCTAAATAAGATGTTTTGAGTCCCTTCCTACCCCTCCGTGGGAGAGTTGACAAGCATAGAATTTAGACCAGCTTTAAGAGCTGATTGGGGCGGGGGGGAAATAAAGAGTTGGTTGACTGGCTGTATGTGTGTGTGCGTCATGTGCATCATAGACTGCGTCTTGTCAGCTGCCTGGTAGGGTCATGCAGATTCACCAGGCTTTATTAGGTTGGCTGGCCTTCCACAAACAGAGAGGAGAAATTACTAGCCTAGGTCACATGGTATATACTACCTCCTTCTCAAAATATGTATGGAGACTCGGTGATTCGCAGAAGGAATAACCTTCACATTTCAAGAGATCTCGCCCATTCCATGTCCTCGCTGGGGCATCTCAGCCAGTGTGGCTCTGAAATGAAAGGGAACTCCTATCACAAACCTTAACAGTGTTCATTTCTGTTCTTCATACCCTTCATAACCACACTGAGAGACCTATTTTAGCAAATTTCAGATATTCCGCATAGAGGAAGGCTTGACAGGGAAGAAGAATTTGATCTGCTGATTGCTTGAGGAAAAAAAAAAAAAGAAAGAAACCCAAATCCTCAAATATACTGTGACTTATATTTTAGGCATATCTCACACTTCCCTGCTTTATGTTTGGCAGCGTTCTCCAGTTTCACAGGCTGATGATAACAAACAAAAGAGAATGGAAAGTTAGAGGAGGCTCTAAGTGGTTACTCGATAGAGATCACAAAATGTAGTCAAACATCAGCAATTTGGACTAATTTCAGGAAGATGAGAGTAAATAAGAGAGAGGAACGCTCTCTCCAGATACACATGCAGAACTCAATCTGAGCTGGCCCCATTCTTGGGCGACGTGTGGTTTACATAATGCAGGCATTAATCGGGTATAGATATTGCTTTTGAAGTTCTTAAAAAACATTCTACTTAGTAACCTAAATCGCCCCTTATTTAGTCTTTGGAGTTGTCTTGCAAATTTTTTATGAATGATACAAATGAAAACTGAAAATTGGCTCCATTGTAAATTCAGGATCAGGAGGATCTGAATTTATTAAATGCAACTTGCTGAGCATTTCTGGATCAGCCTCAACGCACAGGGCATCCTGCTGATGTTTATCCACATGAAACTGCCAAGGGTACAGACCCTGCCTTCAGGAGGCTTATGAGTTGTAAAAGAATTAACAAGGTTTTGCTGCAGAAAAAGAAAATTATATGTGGGTAAAAATAGTAGGCTTGCTTTTATAAATATTTATATGCTTCTGAAGATTGCTTAAACAAGTGAAATAAATGCTTAACGGTGCAGGTGTGCTCATAACCTCGAAAATGTGTAACTTTACTGGCTGAAGATTAATTTGTGAGTAGATGAGCAATTTTATTGATCGAATTTTGGAACTTTGACCACCGTTTCTGGGTAGTAATTCATTTTGGTTCTTTAAGCATTTTAGTTGTTGGCACGAGTACATAAACTGGAAGGAAATCAAATGACACATTTTCTCCTAAGAAAGTAAAAGTACATGTGTATTCTGGCAGCATGAAAGTTAGGAAAGAAAGTAAACCTTGTGTGTTGCTTACAGCGGAAAGCTGACCACAGTTTCAGGCCGTCTATAAAGAATTTGAACTTGAAACCAGTCATCGGAGATTTTCCCCTCCTGCCTGTCCTCCCCCTTCCAAGGTTACATCATGTGGGAGCCCCTCATCCAGGAGGCCATTTCACTGGAAGGAAGGGTAGTGAAATCCACTGGAAGTGCAGCCGTGTCGTCCAGTTGGAAGCTCGGGATTATAATAAGGACTCCTGCTTGGAGCAGAGGAGGTTAAAGTACAAGATCCAGCAGGTGTTTTTTTTAGCATTTTTATTTGCAGTTATATAAAACGTGCTTTAGGCAGCATTTTTGCTTTGCATTAATGCCACATATAATCTTAGTACCCATATCATTTCCACGTTATTCACTAAGGAATAAATTGGTAAGAGGAAACCTTTAAAGGAAACTACAATTTTATGTTGTAGATAGTGAAATGGAATGGTTTTGAAATACTGACCCTTAAACAATATCCCTATGCATGGAATTAGTAAAGCGGATAATTCAGGAGAAGGAGGCAGATTTTTTTTTCTTTTCTTAAATGTCTGGAGTTAGCATTGTCTAGAATTGGCATCCCTGACCTTAAATTGATAAGAAGTGTCGAAATTTTGGTAACTGTTGAAGATGTCATTGTTACCACATGACTTTGGAGAGTCCCAAAACCCTAAAAAATAAATCTTGATAAGAAACAATAAAATAGAAATGACGCTTTAAAAATGGCTATTAAGTCTTACAGATTACACACACCGTTAAAAGTATGATAGAAACAGTGTCCCCAGCCCCTCAGAAAAAAACGCATCCACACACAGAATTTTGTATCCAGTTATAAGGGTTTCCTGAACCTCAAGAAATCCATCCTGTGACCTAGGTCAAATACTCTTGCTTTCAGAATTTTTTTTTTTCTAAAATAGTATGTTTTGTCCTTGCCTCCAGATTTCTGATCTGAGCTGTAATGTAATGAATTAGCTTATTTTTGCTATTTCAGCTTCAGCAGTATATAGGATGAGCCGGTGTCCCAGTCCTTCCAGGATATCCCTGGTCTATGGCTGGTGCCGGAGTGTATTTATTGACATTTCTCTTTTAAAGCATCCCAGTTTGGACATTTAATTATATGGTCATGTTACCAACATGCACCTAAGCATTAAAATTCCAGTGTGATGCTAATATTTTAAATGTAAGCATGTCA